GTCAGGAAATTGGTTTTCGGCAAGAATGTCATGTTGGTGTTTTGTTCTGTAAGCAAGACATTTGCTAATCCCATTGTATTGGAATATATGGCGTTTTATATATTCTAAAACCAATTAGGCAAATGTTCAATTCACAATAAATAAATATACGTTGTGCGTTTGCAATTTTGTTTAGTGCATATGGAATTTATTCTACTGGTTGGCCATGGAAAGCAACGTAGGTAGTAAAATATATAACGAAGGTCAACAATGTACCCCGTTACTTACAAAGGAAATTGGGGCATCAACCCCTCTCCCTTTCTATTTTTCTAGGGACGAATGACCTTTTCTTCCTCCTTTGAAACTTATTTGTATTAAATGTTATTAATAATGACGTATAACTTTAACCTCGGTCATAACTTTTGAGTAAGAAGAGAAAGATATGGCTTTCATATTAATTTTACTTGTGTATTACCTGTAACAAGAATTTTCTCAGTATATAATGATTTTTTTACCCCGTGATATTGACCCTGAAGTCCGACCTAGATTTCAAAAATGTTATCTTTACTTATTACCCTTTAAGGAAAAGAGATAGTGCTTTCATATTTTGGGACACGTTTATTGACTGTTACAAGATGTTTCCAGCATGCTATAATTTTTTACCTTTCTGTTGACCTAAATTTCAACAATTTTACCTTTCGCCGACGCCGAGGGTATTACATAAGCTCCCCCAACTTCGTTGAGGTGAGCTAAAAGTAAAAGGACCAACCAAAATTTAATTAACAAAATGATTATCATATAGTGGACTGCAAGTGTAAATAAACACAACTAGAAATGTTTCATTGTTTATTAATTCACTACAATGATTTTGTCAACTCATATAACAAAAAATACAACAGCCTTTCAAAAAAACAACTTAATTCTTGTATAAACTATATACTTTTCAACTGACAAAAAGAGGTAAACAGTGAACCATTCAAAAAGAGGTAATGATGACCAGATGTGATATTTATGATATACAGATTCATTTGAAATGTTAAGATTCATTTCATTACTGCTACATTTGTGTGAATAATGTTAAGGTTACTTAAAACAAGCTGATCCCTTTACTTGTACCTCAGAATGAAGCAAAAATATGCATCATTAAGCTAGTCTAAAGAAGATCTCTAGCTTAAGAGCAAGTTCATTAATTGTGAACAGTTAACTGTCAAATAATACATAAACAAGAGATGCTTGGCTTTACACTCTTTACTTGCTCATTTTCTTTTTCTTTTTTTTCTCAAGTGTGATGTAATTGTGAACGGTGTTTTTGATTTTTTTCCAACTTAATCGTCTCAATTCTTTATGTTCATGAAGTGCTTTGTCACAGTCTCTTTTTCTCAGCTCTTTGTGATGAAGTATATTCATTTGGAAAATCTTTCGTATGATCTTTACTTCTTTCTCATTCAGTCGGCAAATACTTTTTCCTTCAATAAAATGCAACTAAATGAACGTAAATTGAAAGCAAATTTACCAACGTTTTTAAGCACAAACTTACCTAACAATGCACCATTACGGATTCATATTTATAAGCAAACTTAAGTTAACCATGTTGACTTTTATAAATTACACAGTGGTAGGAACTAATGGTTATCTATAGTATACTATATAACCATAGCTACTTTATGCTTGTGACCCTTGAATGAAAATGTATAATGCCCTTTTATCTTGTCAAGGAAATTTTGGTAGTTAATAGTGCTCCAACCTAAAAATAAAATGACTGCCCCCCTCCCCAACTGAAATTTCTTCCTACAGACCTAAATGAATCTGACAATACACTATTAAAGATTGCTTGATCATCAAACATGAACTTCTTTAAGCATTATAAATGATTCCAATATAAAAATATACTTTACTTTTGCTCTATCAGTAATTGCTCCCTTTTGTAACTCATTTAGAAAACTCTGTGTCCTAAACAATTAAACAAGTACCTCACTATACAAAGTCTGTGTTTCTAATATTAACATACATTTAGTACCTAACTATAAACATTCAGTGTTTCTTATATAAACACCAATGTACCTCACTATACAAAGTCAGTGTTTCTAATATAAACAAACATGTCATCATTATGCAAAGTCAGTGTTTCCTATATAAACATTCATGTACCTCACTATGCAAAATCAATGTTTCCAATAGAAACACACATGTACCTCACTATACAAAGTCAATGCTTCCTAAACAAGTACACATATACCTCACTACGCAAAGTCAATGTTTCCAATATAAACACACATGTACCTCACTATGCACAGTCAGTGTTTCCTATATAAACACACATACCTCAATATGCAAAGTCGATGCTTCCAATAGAAACACACATGTACCTCACTACTCAAAGTCAGTGTTTCCTCTATAAACACACATGTACCTCACTATGCACAGTTGGTGTTTTCTATATAAACACACATGTACCTCATTATGCAAAGTTGGTGTTTTCTATATAAACACACATGTACCTCACTATGCAAAGTCGGTGTTTTCTATATAAACACATATGTACCTCACTATGCAAAGTTGGTGTTTTCTATATAAACACACATGTACCTCATTATGCAAAGTCAATGTTTCCAATAGAAACACACATGTACCTCACTATGTAAAGTCGGTGTTTTCTATATAAACAAACATGTCATCATTACGCAAAGTCAGTGTTTCCTATATAAACATATCATTCATGTACCTCACTATGCAAAATCAAAGTTTCCTATACGAGTACACATATACCTCACTACGCAAAGTCAATGTTTCCAATATAAACACTCATTTACCTCACTATGCAAAGTCAATGTTTACAATAGAAACACACATGTACCTCACTATGCAAAGTCGGTGTTTTCTATATAAACACATATGTACCTCACTATGCAAAGTTGGTGTTTTCTATATAAACACACATGTACCTCATTATGCAAAGTCAATGTTTCCAATAGAAACACACATGTACCTCACTATGTAAAGTCAGTGTTTCCTATGCAAGCACACATGTAACTCACTATGCAAAGACAGTGTTTCCTATATAAACACACATGTACGTCACTATGCGAAGTCGGTGTTTTCTATATATAAACACACATGTACCTCACTATGCAAAGTCAGTTTTTTATATATCAACACACATGTACCTCACAATGCAAAGTCAGTGTTTCCAATAGAAACACACATGTACCTCACTGTGCAAAGTCAGTGTTTCCTATATGAACACACATTTAGTACCTCACTATGCAATGTCAATGTTTCTAATATATTTACATTCAATGTAATTTCCTTTATTAAGTCCATTAGAAATCCACGACGTTCAACTTTCTTTAATATATCGGAATCCTTGTCACAGCGCAGTAGAATACACATAAGGAACTACAAGTATTTTCAGTATTTAGGAATACCAAGATGTATATTGATTTTACTCAAATTCATTTAAAAGAAAACTACCCTTGTAAAAAACAGGAAATACGGCAAAAGTGCATTAAAAACTAATTTGTCATTTTATTTCCTCGCAATGTTTATTTGCGTAATTTAACTTTCCAACGTTACAAACACTTTCTGATGTCACGACCGGCTATTACATTTATCGAGCACACCAAAACCGAGGGGCGCTAAAATCACATTTAACATGAAAGAAATAAAAAATTATAATAAAGAAAAATTAGAAAATGTAAATAAAAGCAATAAATTCATATTTTGGGATGTCTTTGGTCCTATAACACACATGGCTGTGCCGCATCATACCGCGCTAACGCCGGTATTCAATTCGTCGGCATGGCCATGTGTGTTATAGGACCAAAGTCATCCCAAAATATGAATTCAATGCTTAAATAAACTAGAAATATGTCCATAGGACATGAATGCCCCGCCGTGGATGTATTAGTAAAGCAACATGAAAATTTGTATGTGTATAAAATTTGATCAGAATAATTTGAATAGTGCAGTCTTCGAAATAACCTGGGTGCCCCATGCCCGGGACCTGGTAAATTTGCAAACGGGCATGTGAAAATTCTCAAATTATATGCCCGAAGGGCATTTGTGAATTTTCTTCGATTCGCGATGTTTACTTGCTATTTCTTCAGTTATACCCTAGTTATTCGTGTAAACTTGTTATGTGATATCTTAATCTGAATTGCCAGCCTATATTTGTCTTACATTACATTATCGGTACGTACAATACTACATTTTGGGAGGGGGGGGGGGGGAGAAATTCAATATACTTCACTTTAGACTCTTTTGCTTTATCTTAATTAATTTCATTTTCTTTTAACCACTACACTTAACAATTATTTCAATATACGAGAGCTGATAAAATCAGCTGTTATCAGTTATGCTTTGTATTTTTCGTTTTTTTACTTTCGTTTTTAAAAAAACGATCCCAATGTTTATCATATCATTGTATTTAATTAATATCTGTTTTTAATAAAATGATATTTAGTTAACCTCTAAATCTATGTTGTTCACCATGCATATACCCCTTCAAATGGTTACGTAATTAATCCCCTAAATGCTCCAGGCATATTACCTGTACAGCTGTGTCATTCTGCGATCAAGCGTGAAGTGATTTCCTGTGGCTAATTAACAGTTTTTTTAACACCTCGGCAAACAAAGATACTAATCTGTGTGCATTGAATAAATAAAATATTCCTATCCTGATTTATAAAACACAAATCGGAAATTTTAGGATGAATTTTCAGATCTTTCTTGTTGATTAATTGATATTGGGTCAAAAAATTGGGATGATCGATTTTGCGGGTGAAAACAATGACACGCTGCGGGTCATTATGAGTGGGGGGTGAGAGGTCAATTTTGCGGGTGTGACCCACCGAATGCGGGTCACTTGGCAGGTCTGCCTGTCAAATGATTATCAATTGTAATCATTAAAGTGTTTAATTTAACCTATTTGTTTTCTCGATGTTTCTTGCCAAATTATGATATCTTTATTGATACCATATGCAGTGGACTGCTGTCATGATGATCATGATCCTACTTCAATTCAACTATAATGGCCAACAAACAGCCAGCATACGAGTCAAAAGTTGTGAACAAAAAGGCACACCAAAATGGCAGACAAGCAGGCCACCGTAGATTTAAAACTTCTTGTAAACAATTTAAACTAAAGATTGAGAGAATTTAAAAACAGCAAAACTGTACTTATAGTTAATATTACCTTATAACATTATTTTTTATTGCACAATCATATATCTGCTATATGAATGAAATTTGAGTAGGGCATGTACAAATTTCAATGGGCTGGGTTAAAATTATACATGCCCGAAGGGCATGTGCTGAAAAAGAATTGTTGTGAATAGTGATGCAGCTGAATTGCTTGTTTGGAAAATATAGGTCAGATCCAGCATCCGAAGCAAGTCTGGTAGTGTCCATCCCTAGATGCATCATCCATGTAAGTTTGGTTCAGGCAGGGCTTATAGTTATTTGGGAATGAAAATATAGGTCAGATCCAACATCCGAAGCAAGTCTGGTAGTGTCCATCCCTAGATGCATCATCCATGCAAGTTTGGTCCAAGAAGGGCTTATAATTCCTTAGGAATTGACCTGCTCCAAAAACTTAAATATGGTCACTTATTTGGAAAATGTAGGTCAGATCCAGCATCCGAAGCGAGTCTGGTAGTGTTCATCCCGAGATGCATCATCAATGCAAGTTTGTATCAATATGTGAATTTTGATTAATCCATCCTGAATGGTATGTTTAAAACTGAATTAAACACCAATTTAACAAAAGTGAGGTCAAGGTCAAAGGAAAGGTCAAGGTCAAAAAATGTTGATGCAGTTGCATAGCTCTCATCAATATCTATCAGCATATGAAGTTTGATGAAAATATCTTGGATGGTTTCTTTAAAACTTAGCTTTGAGCAGAGCTAAACGCAAAGTGTGACGGAAGGACAGAAGGACGGAAGACGGACATGACAAACACTATATGCCCCGGCCATATTAATGGCAGGGCATAACAAATATGTACCTCATATATGCCAAGCCAGTGCTTCCTATATAAACACACATTTAATTAGTACCTCACTATGCTAAGTTCAACATTTCAAATATAAACACACATGTACCTCACAATGCAAAGACAGTGAGAGCTAAACGCAAAGTGTGACGGAAGGACAGAAAGACGGAAGACGGACATGACAAACACTATATGCCCCGGCCATATTAATGGCAGGGCATAACAAATATGTACCTCATATATGCCAAGCCAGTGCTTCCTATATAAACACACATTTAATTAGTACCTCACTATGCTAAGTTCAACATTTCAAATATAAACACACATGTACCTCACAATGCAAAGACAGTGTTTCTAATATAAACACACATGTACCTCATTATGCAAAGTCAGTGTTTCCAATAGAAACACGCATGTACCTCACTATGCAGTAAGTGTTTACAATAGAAACACAGATGTACCTCACTATGCAAAGTCAGTGTTTTCTATATAAGTACACATGTATCTCACTTTGCGTTAGAGATTCCATATAAACATATATTAAGGAGGTTCCTTACACCACTTTTTGATGACGTACTACACAAAAAAATAAACCTCCATTGTTTCAAACGAGTTCCTTTGGGGGACAAATTGTACAGGTACCTTCATCATATGACCCTAACCTATAAGGTTTCGTCAAAGGTCAACATGTTCAAAAATTTATTTTTACAATAGCCCCAAAACTATATGAGCCCCAAAACTATATAAAGATAAAACTTTTACAGTTCATCAATTTTTCATCGATTAACAGAGACAGAGTATCACTTGATAAAAAAAAAAATACTTGGAAAAAATATTGAGAAAAATTCTACTTCAAAATGCATATATTTTTAAAATATGCACATAATTAATTCCATGATCTTAGTGAAAATCATCATTGCAGAAACAAAATATGTTTATCAATGAAGGGTAAGTTGGACTTGGATAGTCTCTGAAAAGTTGTTCTCCCTGTTTGTTTTGTCCAAATGTTTAGACTTGAAAGTGAAAGTACATTGCAAATGGTGGATTCTACAGGGGTCTTGTCTTTATACATGTCATGCTTTCAATAACAGCCTACCAGAGACCATTCACGTCCAACTTGCCCTTTAGTGATAAGCATATATTATTTCTGCAATGATGGTTTTCACAAAAAGGACAGAATAAAGCAGGTGCATTTTTTAAAAAAATATGCATATTTTCTGATACAATTTTTCTTCAAAAAAATATTTTTAAAAATATTTGTTATCATGTGATACTTTCTATCTATTAATCAATGATATGTTTATAAACTGTAAAGGTTTTGACTTTATACCACACATAGTTTAGGAGCTATTGTAAAAATAATTTTTAGACATGTTGACCTTTGACGAAACCTTAAAACGCTTCAAACTGATGAAACGTTCGATATCCTGTAAACAATGAAAACAAAGTAACGGATTTAATGTGCATAAACCAAGAAGAATTTTTTTAGGCAGAAAGCAAAAAAAAAACATCAGCTCAGCCAAGTCTTTGCCAAACAAGTAATGTGCAATGTTGTAATCGAGCAATGAGCTCTATCAGTCAGTATGTATTGAGGAAATTCGAGTTAAAATCTACAAATTTGTTTAAAATACTATTTACAGTGTACTTGCAATATTTACTTTGCTGGTGTTGATTTATATACTTGCTTAAATGATTTAAAGCATTGTTCAAATGTTCTTTGTGTTTTGAGTCTTAGGAAATTAGGAAAGATAACTCTTGCAGGTGGACTTTTTATACCATATATTTTTTCTAATTGGACTTTTCATTCCATTAAAACATTCTTCATTCAATTGATCACATACAAAATTCCTTAAAATACATTCCTTGTCTCTTTAGAGCTCATTTCCTAATATTTCATGAAAAGATTAAACAGATAATGACATTATTTTTAAAAGAAAACTATTTTTCTAGTAATTATGAGTTTTTTTCATTGTGTGTACTTGTCTAAACAATATGTCCATCATTTGACACTGAAGGTTCTGAATTGAATTTCTGGTAGTAATAATCTTGAAAAAAAAAAAACATTTCACTAAAATTTGAAAAAAAAGTGAAAAAAAATCACTAAAAATATTTAATATATCAATACCTCCATTTTGATATTTGACATTTACATTATAATTGGTACTATTATGAAATCTAAAATAAACTGTGGGTGTAATGAGCCACCTTAAGAAATCTAAAAATGAAAAAAAAAATCAGCATATAGGATAGGAAGTACATGTATCCATGGTTCTCAAATTATCAACTGCTGATTATATGGGATTTACCTCTTGAGGGTTTAGGAGCTTTTGGTTCCATTTCCTTTTCTCTGACTGCTTCACTTTCCTCTGCATTGTAATCATCATCTTCCACTTCATCATCATCATCATCAACATCCCCATCCAAGTTTATGTCTACAATAAACAGCCTCATTTTTATCCTGTTTATACCATCCAAGTACAATAATTAACTTCACTTAACTGTATTTTAGCAACTAAATCACAAATACTTCCTACTTCACTCCATTTTCTTTTTACTATGTGTATGTTTAAAATGACTTTTTTCGTTTTAACAAATAAAAAAAAAATTCTAAATACCTTCACAGGCAATTTTCCAGAGACTTCCCACTATACTTTGAGATGTCACCATTGTCAAAAGCAGTTAAAATTGTTCCCATTCTTGCAATCTGCAGAGTGTCATTTGGAAGTCGGTAGAATGAATTATGAATCCTTATGTCATGTCCAAGAAAGCCTGCCATGATTTCCAGATCATTCTTTTCCAAATTGAGTATTTGGGAAACAGTTGCTACGTGCTTCCTCAGTTTGGTACTCGTTATATTAGCAGCTTTTGTAACGCCACATTCTAATGCAAATTTTCGAAGGCAATCTGAACTTCGAATAGGGTTCAGTGAATCAAAGCTAGATCTTGCAAAGACATACACATTTTTTGGATTCACACCAGCCAGTTTTCTGGTTTCAATAAGCAAATTAATGCTTCTCTCAAGTGCTGGAGTTAGCAGGATAGGAACAGTACGACCTCGTTTCCCTCGAATTTCAACTCTTGAGAATGTTTTACACAGAAGTCTTTCAAGAGGTTTTAACGAATCTTCTATTTCTTTCAGAGAGTCATTCTTTGATCGTTTCTCACAAAAAGCTTGAACAGTTATTCTTTCTGCTTCACCTCCTCTTCTCCTGTTAAACATCACCAGTCTAGCTAATGTCACCTGATTCAGATCATCCCACACAGATTTTGTTACTGATTTCTGTAACAAAACAACTAGTTTCTCTGTCTTTTCCTTTAAAAGGCTTTGCAGTTTTTGGATGTCCTCTGTTAAAGGAAGTCCTTGACCTTTGTTCACTTTGTTTGCCATTAAAGTTTGTAAAGCACAGCTAGAAATGGAATCGGTCCATTCATTTTCACAAAGAGTAGAAAATGCATCTGCATTTTTGCTCAATTCTTCACTTCCTTCAATCAGGGCCATAGATTTTTTTATTTTTGCACATTTCTTCAAAGAATGACCCAACTTTAGAGCCAATGATGGGTTTGCATATGAATTTGTACTGTCCTTGAACCCACAAAGTGTTTTTGTGCATTTCACTACAGTTGGGAATTTCTGGGGCTGGATAGCATCATCAAGGGAATTAATGTCTTCATCAATTTCTCTCAGTGAAATTAATAGTCTTCCCAATTCTCTCATTTTCTGGCTAACATGTGTGTACAAGTGAGTTAAGTGCCCATGTTTCTGGTAGAGTTTTTCTCCAATTTTAACAATGATGGTGTCATTTCTTGCTGCTATGCTAACCTCATCCGCAGACATCCTATTCAAAACATTCTCTCTAAGCCCATGACTAACCTCTGTGCTGGTTGGAAGCAAAAGTGAAGCTTGTGAAGAGACTTTCCTATATTTCTGTTCTTTTTCTTCTGGAGCAAAAGGGCAATTCTTAATGTGCCTCCACAAACAAGATTTCAGGAAAAAACCCAAGCAGTACTGACATGGCAGAAACTGCTTGGCAGATGCCTCATTCCAATTTCTTGTAAATGTTACAAGAGTTCCATGTCCTGTTTTCAAAACTGCACAATTGTGTTGATAGTCACCGGAATTTCTAAGTTTCAAAAGTGCAAGTTTTCTATTATTTGAATTTAGTGGATGAGATTCAATCTGCTGTACTTCTTTTTCTTTTGCATGCACTCCCAAATAGTGTTTAGTAATATTTGTAAATCCTTTCTGGCAGTAAAAACAAAAATGTTGTTTATCCCATACACGGATTCCCTCTTTGTTTTTTGAATGCTGAACATGAACTTCTTCATCCACATTGACTGTGCTTGAAATAATTTCAGTCGTTGGGTCCGATTTCTCAACTCTTCGCTTTTGGTGCTTAGATTTGTCTGATGTTGAACTCACTTTTTGTTCTTGATTATCTTCAGATCTCACACTGTCTCCATCACTTTCCATCTCATAATCGGGATTTTCAGGGTCTCCATTAATCTCCATCTCATAATCAGGATTTTCAGGGTCTCCATTAATCTCCATCTCATAATCAGGATTTTCACTGACTACATCACTTTCCGTCTCATAATCAGGATCTTCAGGGTCTGTCAACTCCATTGATTCCTCCGAATCTTCTGAAGCCTCTAAATCTTCTGAACCTTCAGAATCTTCTAAAAAATTCCCAAGTCCTAAAAACAATGAAAAGGATCTAGTTAGCAATTGATTGCTATAAATAATACCAAATATATAGCCAACATACAATACCGACAAGACACAACCTACACCAGAGCGAACCCCAAGCGGACCCCAGGTCCGCTTCCTGGGTTCGCTCGAGGTCCGCTTCCGGTTTGCTTTCAGAAATTTTGGAATTGCACTGGGTGTGCTTTGGATGTGCTCTGGGTTTACTCGGGGTCAGCTTTGGGTCGGCTAAAGCAAACCCGGCTCTCACTTTCTGGGACTGCTTTACGCACCGGTGCGTGAAGCGGACCCCGCTTTAATCTGGCCGCCAGCAAGCCAAGTCCCTTATATACTGATAATTAGAATTTTTAGCGAGGATTTAATTTTGGCATTTTTAGCGAGGATGCAGACATCGCTAAAATTGAATATGGCTAAAAATCAATTGCGTATTATTTGTAATAGCTTCTTTAGTAAGCATATTAAAATCGCTAAAATTACTTCTCGCTAAAAATAAAATACCTTTTTTTAGATAAAAATCGCTAAAGAATCACGGGCAGTAAGCATATATGAGCTGCCCAATATTTTAAAGAAAATTTTATACCAGTGCTATCGTTAAGTTGGTTTATTTTTCATATAACGAGATGTCCAGTTTGATGTTAATAGCAATAAAATTTTCAACATTTGATTCGTAGTTGAGTTATCACGATGTGAAGTTGTGTGATTTTTCCGGAATTGAGAAATTTCCATCAAATTCTCACATTCCAAAGAAGATTTAGATATGGCCGCATGAAAACAACAAAGTAAAACTTTGATAGATTGTTTAAAATGACATAATAAATTATATCCCAAAATATCATTCTGTTGTTCGCATGCGGCCACCCTGAAAAATATAAAAAACGATGTTTTTTGAGGCCGATTTTGATCGCTTCCGGTTTCGGTTTTTATATTCAGACGTAAACAAAGTTGGAGGAAACAGAAAATGTGACAGTAGATTTATCGAAGTTCTAACCATTTAACAGGTAGGGATGAATTGAAAGTCAGAGTAATTGTAATTTTACATCCACTACTTACATACACTGTTCAAAATTAAATCCCCTCCTAAACTTTTTAATGATAAAAGATTCGACATGACAGACTCCGCGAACTCCATGAACTCGGGGGGACGGTAATCAATGCATGTCAAACAGTTGAAAATAGAAAATATGTATTTAAAATATATTAAACAGGAACACAACATGCTATCTTCTTTCAATTAAAAACTAAATTATAAAAAGTTGACTTATTCATCGATTCTCTTTGAATTAGGCCCGAATATTCATGATTCATGAACCCTCGATCGGCCGGTTGATCTGCATGATTAGCCGCGTTTTATCAGTTGTGAAAATCTTAACATATACGGCATTAAAATATAAATATACTACATTTCTATGTTGGTGTTTATTACATATTTTTCTGTCTGAGTACAAATACAACCGAGTCTAGCGTTTGTGTATTCAAGTACCTTTGTACTTTGTGTAAATGTATGGTGTGCTATAACAGTCAAAAATAAAAAAAAAAATGTAAGAGTTTTTTTTCTTTTTTTTTTTTTTTTGTTGCAGAGACATATAAAACCATTGTAAATACAAAACCATGGTTTTATATGTCTGGTTGTAGTAAAACCGTTAAAGAAATAAAAAAAAATAGTTTCTAAAAAATAAGCTAACATCACTAAATCTAATTAATGTTCTTTGCAGAATAAATAATAATTATAAATAAAATTCTTTCTATTTTTCTTGTGGGAACAATGTATTTTTTGTTGTTTTTTTAACCAATTAATTAAAATATTATTAACGTAAAATTAAACTTTTGTAAGTATTAAAAAAATAATAAGATTACCAAGGAATATTTCAAATTCATTTAAGTCACCATTAAAATGAAAAAAAAAAAATGTTTGTCATTACAAGGTTCATCTTTTTTGTTTTAATTTAAAGTACACAATAATGTCTTTGCCTCTGATTTTATTCATTAAACTCAAATAGGTAAATCAATAAAACTGCTATTTAAATTGATTTCTTGAATGAAATAATTATATATTATACCTGGTAATATTAATAAATGATTCCCTTTTTTCATATATAAAGAAAATCTTATGCAAATGTATATACACTGTACAAGTAACCCCCCCCCCCGCCGTCCCTTGGTATAGACAAAATGTGCAGACAAAACATATATAGTAATTTAATTTTGATATTCATATTTTAATTGTAGGATGCCTGGAGATGGTCCAAAACAATATCCTGTTACTGGAGCTGTTACTTGTTGGTATTGTCAGTGCCGTGCCCATGTGACCTCAATATTGTGGTTTCTTGGCTATGAAAGACACACAAACTTTGCAGTAAGACCTACTCAAGACTGGGCAGACTACCTTGATGCAGCTGTGCTTCCTGCAGTAATGGATGGCTCATCAGAGAGTGAAATGGGTGCAATGGAAGAGTGACATGAATTGCAACATTGGTTTATTGAGAGTGAACATTATTGAGAGTGAACATTCTGCAGATTATAGGCGTCTCCATATGTGTGAAAATTCTCGAGAGGGATGTTAAACAATATACAATCAATCAAATACAATCAATCAATCAATCTGCAGGTTATGATATCCACTGCATTAGGCTCCCATTGTTGTTTTCAACAATATAGTGGAAGGCTGTGTATATATTGTTATTTATTAATTGTAAATAGGAATTTTTATGTATCTTTGATTCTTTTTGTGTTTAAATTGTGATTTCTTAACATCTGTTATATAATCGAGAACTTAAAATATAGTACATTGCACATCCCAAAAACATATTAGATTCATTGCCTGAGTTTAACAAGTTCGGTTGTAAATATTGAAAGATTAATTATGTACATTGACAAATGAAATGATTTGTTATTATGATATGATTATTCTTCATGAATAATTATTATAAAAATTAATATACTGATGTAAAATACATAATGCATCACAAAATGTTTCTCAGATAATAGTAACAATTATAGTTTATTACGCAGCGTGTTTATTTGCATATTGAACTTTGTTAAAATTAACATGACTATATACAAGTACTTGTTATTTTTTGTAATACAATGTAATTACAAAACCTTTCCAGACAAACATGTACTAGTATAACTAATTCTTTGATACTTAGTTCATTTTTATGACATTGTGAGGATGATAAACATTATCTTATTATGAGTAAATGTAGTGTATAAGGCATGAGTAGTGTGATGTTAAACTTCTATGATCTTTTTGGTAAAAGTATAGGTGGGTGATGGTAGTTCTGGAATTTGTTTATGCAAACTGAAATCCCTTATTGTTATTTTTGTCAAGTTTAATGAATTGTTATTAAAAATGTTAGTTGAATACATTTCTTGTTTGTTCACTTTGTGCATTCAATGTATTTTTATGTTAAATACATACAAGCAAATTCAAAGAATTGTGGTGCCCCGCTTTCGGTGTCTTTGTGAGTGAGATGTTATTTTTTCTGACATATTATGTCTAATATGAACACCATATCATATGTAATTTATTTAGTAATTATCATTGAAATTGATTTTTTTGAAGGATGAAAACCCTAATCCTGACCGTTAAAAACTTATGGCCAAAGTGAAAGTTTTAAAAGTAGGTCAACTCCAAGGTCAAGATCAAAGGGTCAAAGTTGTTGATATCCAATGAAAGGTCTTCTCACAAGGATTACGTATGTGAAGTATGAAAGTCCTAGCCATTACCGTTCAAAAGTTATGGTCAAGGTTAAAGGTTATTCATAAGTACGTAAATCTTTAAGGTCAAGGTCAAAGTTGTTGATATCCAATTAAAGCTCCTGCCACAAAGAATATATATGTGAAATATAAAAGTCTTATTATCTACCGTTCAAGAGTTGCGACCAAAGTTAAAGTTTTTTAAAAGTAGTGAAAACTCCAATGTCAAGGTCAAAGGGTGAAAGTTGTTAGTATCCAATGAAAGGTATTCTCAAAGGATTACATATGTGAAGTAGAAAGCCCTAGCTCTCACATTTCAAAAGCTATGGTCAAGGTTAAAGTTTATTCATAAGTACGTAAATCTCAAAGGTCAAGGTCAAAAGGTCAAGGTTGTTGGTATCCAATGAAAGGTCTTGACTCAAAGAATACATATGTGAAAAATAAATTCCTAGTATCTACTGTTTAAAAGTTGTGACCAAGGTTAAAGTTTAAAAAGTAGTTAAAACTCCAAGGTCAAGGGGTAAAAGTTGTCAGTATCCAATGGAAGGTCTTTTTACAAGGATTACATATGTGAAGTACGAAAGCCTTAGTCCTCACCGTTCAAAAGTAATGGTCAAGGTTAAAGTTTTTTCATAAGTACGTGGAACTCCATGGTCAAGGTCAAAAGGTCAAGGTTGTTGGTATCCATTGAAAGGTCTTGCCACAAAGAATACATATGTAAAATATGAAAGTCCTAGTACCTACTATTCAAAAGTTACGGCCAAAGTTAAGTTTGGAATTTTTGTGTAAAAGTGGGTTAAACTCAAAGGTCAAGGTCAAAAGGTCAAATTTGGTGGTACCCAAAGAAAGGTCTTGTAATAAGGAATACACATGTGTAATATGAAAGTCATAACTCCACTAAATCAAAAGTTATGGGCAAGGTTAAAGTCTTTGTGACTGACAGACTTACAGACTGACAGACAGATGAATAAGATTTAATGTACCCCTGCTTTCGCGAAAACTGGGGACAAAAACAACTGTTTTACATTCAAATCTGTTATTTCACCACTTTTAGCTAAAAAAAATAGTTTCTATTCACATGTTTAAGATCATTTCTGTTGTATTTGTATTAAACATCCATCTTTTATTTCTTTAATCATATTTACAGGGAAAAAATATTATTAAGAATTTCCAGAAATCAGTGAAAATAGTGTTATTTTTGTATTGACCCCAAAATGTCTTAATAGTGGTTTTTTCATCAAAATATGTCTAAAAAGGTGTGATTCAATCATAATTCTTTTAATATTTATAATATTTTGTCCATTATGGTTGGGGCATATTTAGGGTCTTAATGCCCCTGATTCTTTGCATCTCGCTAAAATTTCGACTTATACGGTATTCCAGTACAGTAATGGGATTGTGGATCGATCATTGTTGTCTATGAGGCGATCGATACATGTACACTGTACATGTAAACAGTGACATTATGGAGAATATTGATAAATCATTTTCTAAAATTCAATTGTACATTCGATGTAGATTTACATGCCTTTGGTATAATTAATTTCCTTGATTTCTCAGATCTCAGAATTTCGAGAAATTCAAAGTTAGTTAACAGCAGGTTATTATGCATTTATTTTTCTTTAGTTATACATTTAACATATGATCCAAAATTCGCTGTCAAGGAATTTTCGTTACATCTCTCAAAACTGCCATTTATTTTTTTCTGTTTCACAACTTTAATGAATAAACTTATTTAATATTTCTCTGTTGCTCATATTTAATAACTAATCATGTTTTAATGATTATTAAACAAAAAATTAAACTTTTAATGATCGTTTTTGTAGCAATTTAGTGGACAAACTCTGTGACATTTTTTCATATGGCCCGAGGAAATGAAGGAATAGCAGCAGTAAATAAAATCATACCACCTAATTTTCTTGACTCTTTTTTTCTGTACAGATTTATTTATTTAATTTACTATGTTTGTTAAAAAAATATTGATAATTTTTAAAATTAAACTATGGTTAAATTTTATGCTTGGGGATGTAACATTTCGTGTCAATTCTGTTACGTCTGTTCCACACCCGCGTTCAGATACACGAGAGGAAATTTCGATCCTTACAGTCTATTTAAAGTAAGAAGAGATGTCGTAAAACTATTTTAAGAACAGTGAGCCATTCAACTATAAATAAAGTGTTTCTTAATAATCATCGAAATATAATTCAAATTTTCGTGTCAAAATGTTACGTCTGTATATACCTGTCAATTATGAATCTATTGAATGACCGAATGACAACATCCTGTTTTTACGACATTTTCTGGTGTCTACTTTCACTTCTGATCGAGACATGTGCTCTTGTTGGATCTGTGCCAAGAAAACATGGAAGGTGACGGAAGGAGTAGGTAGGTCCTTTGTATGTTACGTCTCTCATTTTTTGTGACTTCAATTTTGACGTAGATTTAAGGATATTATTTGAAGTATTTATAAATCAAATAGGGGTTGTTTACAAAGAAATGAGAATTAAATTTCATTTTAGATGTAAACAATAAACACTGCTATGCCGAAAAAAGAATAATGCTAACTTATTTCACACCATGGTTGGATTGATCGTGTCCATAGTTACATCAAGCCATCCCAATCATGTTTACAAAGATAGGTGTATTTATAGATTTTATTTGCATACTTATTTTATTGTAATTGATTGAATGAAACTTAATAGTAATAGGGAATAACTGCAGTGACCTCTCTATATATAAAATATCTGAAAATTTATGAAAGATGTAACTTTGACAAGATTTTTAATCATCACCGAATGTGTCAAAGTTACATCACTGATTTATGAATGTGCATATTTTTTTGTTGTTGATTTTTTTGTGTAAAAAACTCTTTGGTGTTTTAAGACATGCAAAATACAAGACAAACTTGAGTGATGATAGTGTCCAGTATGCTTTGATCCATCATGCTTAAAATATAATTTGTGATGTAACATTAGACAAGAGTTTTTGTGTCCAAGTTACACCTTTGTGTTAAACTATGTTTTTCATTGTCCTAACGTCTTTCTTAGCAACTTTTCTTTTCTTTTCAGGTTACAGATTGGCCATAAGTTGGATTCTACAAGAAGACGAAGGGGGGTTGGGTACAGGATGTGATTGAACATACTTTGCTTCAAAGTCAAAGTGATGTCAAAGACATTACATGTATTCCTGCCCCAGATTTTACTTGTCATGGGAGCCGTATTTTTTGTTTTTATAATCTTTAAAAAAATCTTTGATTCTCATTCCAACTGCCTCATATTTATCCCCTGCCTTCATTTTTTTGTTTAGAAATTGATCAAGTAAGCAAATATTTCTTTACAATAATTATTAAATAAAAATTAATGTCCCTTCCGGCTACTTCTTTATATCCCGACTCCGAAGGAATGGGGGGTATACTGTTTTACCCTTGTGTTTTTGTCTGTGTGTCCATGTGTCTGTATGTAACAAATTTTGGACAGTTTTCTCAGCAACTACTCATTGCAGATGATTGAAATTTTAGCACACTATTTGTTTAGGCATATGCCTTATGGTAGGATTCATTTTTGTTCAAATCTAACGTCAACTTCCTGTTTATCTATCGTCTCTCCTTACCAAATTTTTGTTGCAGTCTCGGTAACTTCTCATCACAGATGGTTGAAATTTTGGCACACTATTTGTTAAGTATTTTACATGTTTGAATTCATTTTTTGTTTGAATTTCATGTCAACACAAGATGGTATATTCAAATGAGAGTAGGGGGTATTAGTTACTAGTGAGCATTTTCTCACAGACTTCTTGTTTTAAATTAAAAATTGGATGAGAATCAAAGTTTTATTTATTTTGGAATGATTGAAATAAAATTGAAAATTAACTTACTAAACTTAGTGTTATTTTTTTAGTTTCCTTTGGTATTATAGTTTAAATTAAACATGTTAAGAGCTTAGAATCAATCACATTCTGAAAAAAAAAATTAAATTGAAGACTTCAGTGTCCACTGTTACATCTCTGAATTTTAAAATGAGGCATAACATTTTCTTCCCTTGCTTTATGTTTCTGCAAACTTAATAAAAATATATTTGAAAGCAAGCACATTCCTTTAAAAAACATTTTGCTCAATCCAGTTCAACATTGGGGGTTAATTTTTCTTTTTTATGCTGAAATATGTGTCCTGTTACATCTGGAACAGAAGATGATGATTTCATATAAAAGTATTCAGATTTGAGTGTCAAAATTAATAATAAAAAGAATTTTTGTTCTAAAGAAAATAAGATTGGTGTCACAATAAAGAAATGTATTAGTTTTTATTGATTAATTTGACTTGAACTTTAAGTGTCCTCGTTACATCACTCATTCTTAACGAATTTAATTTTAATTGTATCTTAATTTTTTCAAGTCCGACTATCTCGACCTTCCTAGGTGACTTGGTCCTCATACCATTCTTCAATTTGCAACAATATTTAGAATGATATTTTAAGTCTGAAAAATTGGACACGAAGCTTTGAGTGATGTAACAAAAATTCCTTGACAGCAAATTCTAGATCAAATGAAAACAAAATCAGAAGAGGAAGAAAAAAGGTGTTGAGTTGATTTTCAATGTTTCGAGTAGTATAAAATAGAAACTGATGTAAGCATCTAAACAAAATACCTTTCAAATTCATGCATTATAAAGTTTAAAATTATATTTCTTTTTCTTTAGGTTTTGCTAAATCCTAGTATAATCAGGTCTGGATGATTTCCAAATAAGGAAGTCAAGAACGATAACCATAAATTGCTATTAATACACAGAATAAACAAGGAACTAGTCCTTCTGACCAATCAGACAAAAGCATTTAGACAAACCCATGAGAAAATACCCGGTAAATAAAACACGTGGTTAATAAGTTTTTTGCTTAAAAGATTTTTTAGAACAAACTCTTTGTAAACTTTAAACGCATTTGGGCATAATAGAATATTTATGACAATTCTACGTGAACAAACACGACTTGAAAGCTTAGAATACCTTTTAAGTGGGATTAAAAAATCTGTCACAAGGAGGTAGCAATCCTAAAAGTTTAACTTATGTTAAAAATTTGATATGAATACGGAAAATTTTAAGTTTTTATAGCCTGACATGAAAATCTTGTCGAATAGATATCAGTCTTCATTATTTTTTGAATGTTTTTTTCTTTCTTTTTTTTTGTTTACAAAATAGTCCATGCAGTTTTTGATATGCAAGGCAAGATATTGGGATAAAACACATAAAACACATTCATGTATTATTACAGAATCCTCTTTTCTCCACTTTATTGTTTAAATAAACACAATGTACCCCATTATGCACTTAAAGTATTTTCTAAATGGTAGACGTTTCTGACAATTTTTGTTATGATTTCATGATCCTAGATTAATTGACTCGTATGAAAAATAACAATGCACTCACTTTTTACATAATTAAACAGAAACTTTCTGCCACCAATGACCAGCATATCTCCATTATTCAATTCTTGGCCGATTTCAACTGCTTCTCCATTTACAATGACAGGAAAGCTTTCACTATAATTAGTTAAGTAAGCCTGAAAAATTACAAAATTGGATAATCAAAAGAAAATAAGGAATAGATAAAAGATCCAATAAAGCATTTGATATACACTTAGGTAAGGAATTTGTTAAAAATGAAAATTACATTTCTTATTCCTTTTTCACACATAAAGTGAATTTTTATGGGTAAAATCAAGACAAAACTTACTGATGAAAATATGTCAAATCAAACAACTTAGAAAACTACATGCCATGATAAATTTACATTTAGTTAGTATATTACCTTCGACCTTTCAACTGAAACAACTGCATGAATCTTGTCAACATTTTTGAGGGACACTTTTATATTACACTCTCTTCCACTGCAACAAAATTAAATAAGTATTTAAACGAAAATACAGCTGAACTTTACTATCTTGAACTGGGTATCTGATTTACTATGGATATGCCAAATTAAGCTTAAAGTCCCAATCCCTTTTCCTTTTTTTTCACAATTTACACCTAAATATAACACTTCATTGGTCCTGTTATGTCTGAGATAACAAGATTGGACTGTACTGAAAATTTGAAATGATTTAAATTAAACTGTTTTAAGTCAGTATTCTTATCCACTTAAACATTAAATGTATATTACACTAGATATCATTGAGATGGTGGCCATCTCAAAGGGCCCCGCGTTCAACAATGAACATGAAAATGTAAGGTCGTTTAAAAAGGATTATTTTGAAGAGGAACATTTGTGTTATACAGTAAAAGTCATTTAGTACGACTTCACGGATACTGCAAATTTACTTATATTAACGAAGTTATCTTGTATCCCAAGTTATATAAATTTACTGGAATTAAAGGCAAAGAATTATGCACCAAACAAAGATTTTAAACAGAAAGGGTAATTCTGACCATGACCTAGAAACTTCGACCAAGGTCACTGCACATCCATTGACCAGTCGATCTCTATGAGTGAAGTAATAGCCAGATTGGACAAACAAAAGAGAAAAATATACTCCGGACTAGGATTTTTCATATCATTCTGCTATGACCTTGACCTTTGACCTAGAAACCTGTTTCAAGGTCACTGCAAACTGGTTACCCAAAGGCATTCTGTGGGTGAAGTATGAGCCAGATTGGGCCAAGGAGAGAGAAGATATGCTTCTGACAAGGATTTTTCATATAATTCAGCTTGGACTTGACCTTTGACCTAGAAACCTGGTTCAAGGTCACTGCACACTGGTTACCCAAAGGCACTCTGTGGGTGAAGTATGAGCCAGATTGGGCCAAGGAGAGAGAAGATATGCCCCGGACAAGAGATCTCGGACGGACGGACGAACAGACTGATCACTATAGGGCGCCCGCCAAGCGGGGCCCTAATAAATATTCACATTACTGACAGCATATTCATATAAATAAATATAACTGCAAGCATAGCATTATAGAACTATCCAACACATTTTCTTTCCAGCTAATGTTGGCTTGGGAAAGTTCTACTTTAAACAATGCTTACTACTTTAAAATGTTAAATTTCTGCAGTCAAATCAACAAATATGCACAATTTGTTACCTTCCAATGACACATTCCTCCTCATCCAAAGGGTAACTCGCTCCAAGACTATCATCCTTTTTGATCAGAGTTATTTTTGCAAATCCAAAATCTATCAACAAGAGTTAAGAAAAGAATTCAAAATAGATCAATAGTAAGATAGCAATATCCATTGAATTTAGGTAATATTGTAGAACCCAGTGATCAACATGGAAAACTGGACTTGCCATTCAAGTGACCATGACAGAAATCTTAAAGGAAAAAATGGATTGAAGATTGAACAAAAAAAGAATGAATAATATACCGTAAAAGACTATTTGAATACCTTACCTTCTATGTCCGTGTCTTTGGCGACTTGATGCCCAGAGTCTTGAGTACAACCTGGCTGACAATGTATATCTTTACTGGCAACTGAAATTGAAGATTAATTAGAATGAATGAAAAAAGCAAAAAAATAAGAACAGTCTTTACTTGTTTCCAAAATAAACAACCATTTAGTACCTCACTATGCTAACTCAGTGTTTCTAATATAAACACACATGTACCTCACTATGCAAAGACAGTGTTTCCTATAAAAACACACATGTACCTAACTATGCAACGTTAGTGTTTCCAATATATACACACATTTATTACCTAACTATGCGAAATCAGTGTTAGAATTTTAACTTCCTACAGCAAACAAAACATTCAGACACATATTTTTATATGCCTTACCCTGTAAGTCCGAGTCTTTGGTGACTTGATGCCCAAATTCTTTAGTAGAGGCTGGTTGACAATTTATATCTTTGGTGGCAACTGAAATTGAAGAATTATTAGCATGAATGAAACAAGATAAACACAAAGAGAATATAAAAAAAAAATTTAACAGAAGTCTCTGTCGAGACTGTACCTCTACTTGTTTGTACTTCTAACAAAGGAAGATAAAAGAAGCCATTGCGATCAGCTCAAAATTGTAGGAGGAGTAACATATCTGACCAGTAGAGCTAAAAATAGTTAAAGCCTTTACTTTCAATCACTAGTTTTACTTTCAGTGTACCTAGCATAATTTTCACTTCCTACAGCAAACAAAACATTCAGACACATATATTTATATGCCTTACCCTGTAAGTCAGTGTCTTTGGTGACTTGATGCCCAAAGTCTTGAGTACAACCTGGTTGACAATGTATATCTTTACTGGCAACTGAAATTGAAGAATTATTAGAATGAATGAAAAAAGCAAAAAATAAAGAACAGTCTTGACTTGTTTCCAAAATAAACAACCATTTAGTACCTCACTCTGCATAGTCAGTGTTTCTAATATAAACACATATGTACCCCACTATGCAAAGTCAGTGTTTCCTATAAAACTACACATGTACCTCACTATGCAAAGACAGTGTTTCTTTCCTCTAATATAAACACATACACATGTACAGTCTTTCCTATATAAACACACATGTACCTCACTATGCAAAGACAGTGTTTCAAAAAGAAACACGCATTCGGTACCTCACTATGCAAAGTCAGTGTTTCCTATAAAAGTACACATGTACCTCACTATGCAAAGACAGTCTTTCCTATATAAACACACATGTACCTCACTATGCAAAGACAGTCTTTCCTATATAAACACACATGTACCTCACTATGCAAAGACAGTGTTTTCCAAAACGCATTCGGTACCTCATTATGCAAAGTCAGTGTTTCCTATAAAAGTACACATGTACCTCACTATGCAAAGTTAGTGTTTCCAATAGAAACACATATGTACCTCAGTATGCAAATTTAGTGTTTCCAATAGAAACACACATTTATTACCTAATTATGCAAAATCAGTGTTAGAATTTTCACTTCCTGCAGCAAACAAAACATTCAGACACATATTTTTATATGCCTTACCCTGTAAATCCGAGTCTTTGGTGACTTGATGCCCAAATTCTTGAGTAGAGGCTGGTTGACAATTTATATCTTTGGTGGCAACTGAAATTGAAGAATTATTAGAATGAATAAAAAAACAAAAAATAAAGAACAGTCTTGACTTGTTTCCAATATAAACAACCATTTAGTACCTCACTATGCAAAGTCAATGTTTCTAATATAATTACACATGTACCCCACTATGCAAAGTCAGTGTTTCCTATACAAGTACACATGTACCTCACTATGCAGACAGTCTTTCCTATATAAACACATATGTACCTCACTATGCAAAGTCATGTTTCTAATATAAAAACATGTACCTCACTATGCAAAGTCAGTGTTTCCAAAATAAACACACATGTACCTCACTATGCAAAGTCAGTGTTTCTAATAAAAAACACATGTACCTCACAATGCAAAGTCAATGCTTCCTATAAATAAACACACATGTACTGCAGTATATAGAGCAAGTACTTCCTTTATAAACACTTATCTAGTACCTTATAAATGAAACCTTTGTATGGTACAAAAGCATACATAAGCACTATCCATGTGTCTCTAATAGATATAGTTTAAATAAGTACTTGAAAGAAATCAACTTCTAAAACTTGAACCTGAAACACTGACGCTTAGGGTATTAATTAAGTTTTCCCTTACTTCATTGCGGGGAACTAAAAATAATACATCAATAAATAATTCTACTTAAAAACTCAGGGATTTATCTAGCTATTTTGTTTTACTACCGTTTTATATGTAATACACTTGATCTTAGGGTCCTGGGGCATGCCCCCCCGGAAAATTTTTAAATAAATGGAGCAAAAAACATTTCCCTAGACAAAATATTAAACAAATTTAAACCAGGTCAGTACTTCATTGCGGGGAACTAAAAATAATACATCAACAAATAATTCTACTTAAAAACTACAAAAATTACAAAAAGTAATTGCTGGAACTTTCACATACTATTCCTGAAAAAGGGGAATTTTTGCACCTTTTTCAAGAGGGGAAAGGTACCGTTTACCGGTAGTAAAAACAGCCTTGATAAATCCCTGAAACTACAAAAATTACAAAAAGTAATTGCTGGAACTTTCACATACTATTCCTAAATATTTACATCCACTGAATATTTCCTCCTTTACTTCTTAAGAAAACCCATTGCGTTAATCACTGCATGAACTACATTAGGCATATCACCTGTACAGATTTCTTGATCAGTGGCTGTTCCATCAATGAAACGTATATAGATGTTTACATCATTAATATAATAATTCAACTTTTTAATCCTTCTTTAAATAATTATTTACATTAAACAGATATAAATATAAACAATAAAATGTCTTTCTTTGTTTGTTATCACTGGAATTAACAGTCGCAGTTATTGCAGAAAATTATTTTTTCTGCAACAGCTGCTTCCTTTAATTCCAGTAATAACAAAGAAAGCATCTTATTGTTTAAATAAACACAATGTACCCCATTATGCACTTAAAGTAGATATTTTTTAAATGGTTGATGTTTCTGACGATTTTTGTTATGGTTTCATGATCATAGATTATTTGACTAGTATGAAAATAACAATGCACTCACTTTCTACATAATTAAACAGAAACTTTCTGCCACCAATGACCAGCATATCTCCATTATTCAATTCTTGGCCAATTTCAACTGCTTCTCCATTTACAATGACAGGAAAATTTTTACTATAATTAGTTAAGTAAGCCTGAAAAATTACAAAATTGGATAATCAAAAGAAAATAAGGAATAGATAAAAGATCTAATAAAGCACTTGATATACACTTAGGTAAGGAATTTGTTGAAAATGAAAATTACATTTCTTATTCCTTTTTCACACATAAAGTGAATTTTTATGGGTAAAATCAAGACAAAACTTACTGATGAAAATATTATGAAAATATGTTTGTCAAATCAGACAACTTAGAAAACTACATGCAATGATAAATTTACATTTAGTTAGTATATTACCTTCGACCTTTCAACTGAAACAACTGCATGAATCTTGTCAACATTTTTGAGGGACATTTTTATATCACACTCTCTTCCACTGCAACAAAATTAAATAAGTATTTAAACGAAAATACAGCTGAACTTTACTATCTTGAACTGGGTATCTGATTTACTATGGATATGCCAAATTAAGCTTAAAGTCCCAATCCCTTTTCCTTTTTTTTTCACAATTTACACCTAAATATAACACTTCATTGGTCCTGTTATGTCTGAGATAACAAGATTGGACTGTACTGAAAATTTGAAATGATTTAAATTAAACTGCTTTAAGTCAGTATTCCTATGCACTTAAACATTAAATGTATATTACATAAATATTCACATTACTGACAGCATATTCATATAAATAAATATAACTGCAAGCATAGCATTATAGAACTATCCAACACATTTTCTTTCCAGCTAATGTTGGCTTGGGAAAGTTCTACTTTAAACAATGCTTACTACTTTAAAATGTTAAATTTCTGCAGTCAAATCAACAAATATGCACAATTTGTTACCTTCCAATGACACATTCCTCCTCATCCAAAGGGTAACTCGCTCCAAGACTATCATCCTTTTTGATCAGAGTTATTTTTGCAAATCCAAAATCTATCAACAAGAGTTAAGAAAAGAATTCAAAATAGATCAATAGTAAGATAGCAATATCCATTGAATTTAGGTAATATTGTAGAACCCAGTGATCAACATGGAAAACTGGACTTGCCATTCAAGTGACCATGACAGAAATCTTAAAAGAAAAAAATGGATTGAAGATTGAACAAAAGAAGAATGAATAATATACCGTAAAAGACTATTTGAATACCTTACCTTCTATGTCCGTGTCTTTGGCGACTTGATGCCCAGAGTCCTGAGTACAAGCTGGTTGACAATGTATATCTTTACTGGCAACTGAAATTAAAGATTAATTAGAATGAATGAAAAAAGCAAAAAAATAAGAACAGTCTTTACTTGTTTCCAAAATAAACAACCATTTAGTACCTCACTATGCAAACTCAGTGTTTCTAATATAAACACATATGTACCTCACTATGCAAAGACAGTGTTTCCAAAAGAAACACGCATTCGGTACCTCACTATGCAAAGTCTGTGTTTCCTATAAAAGTACACATGTACCTCACTATGCAAAGACAGTCTTTCCTATATAAACACACATGTACCTCACTATGCAAAGACAGTCTTTCCTATATAAACACACATGTACCTCACTATGCAAAGACAGTGTTTCAAAAAGAAACACGCATTCGGTACCTCACTATGCAAAGTCAGTGTTTCCTATAAAACTACACATGTACCTCACTATGCAAAGACAGTCTTTCCTATATAAACACACATGTACCTCACTATGCAAAGACAGTGTTTCCAAAAGAAACACGCATTCTGTACCTCACTATGCAAAGTCAGTGTTTCCTATAAAAGTACACATGTACCTCACTATTCAAAGTTAGTGTTTCCAATAGAAACACACATTTTTACCTAATTATGCAAAATCAGTGTTTCCTAAATAAGTTCACATGTACCTCACTATGTAAAGTTAGTGTTTCCAATAGAAACACATATGTACCTCACTATGCAAAGTTAGTGTTTCCAATAGAAACACACATTTATTACCTAATTATGCAAAATCAGTGTTAGAATTTTCACTTCCTGCAGCAAACAAAACATTCAGACACATATTTTTATATGCCTTACCCTGTAAGTCCGAGTCTTTGGTGACTTTATGCCCAAATTCTTTAGTAGAGGCTGGTTGACAATTTATATCTTTGGTGGCAACTGAAATTGAAGAATTATTAGAATGAATGAAACAAGCTTAATACAAAGAAAATTAAAAAAAAAGATAACAGAAGTCTCTGTCGAGACTGTACCTCTACTTGTTTGTACTTCTAACAAAGGAAGATAAAAGAAGACATTGCGATCAGCTCAAAATTGTAGGAGGAGTAACATATCTGACCAGTAGAGCTAAAAATAGTTAAAGCCTTTACTTTCAATCACTAGTTTTACTTTCAGTGTACCTAGCATAATTTTCACTTCCTACAGCAAACAAAACATTCAGACACATATATTTATATGCCTTACCCTGTAAGTCAGAGTCTTTGGTGACTTGATGCCCAAATTCTTTAGTAGAGGCTGGTTGACAATTTATATCTTTACTGGCAACTGAAATTGAAGAATTATTAGAATGAATGAAAAAAGCAAAAAATAAAGAACAGTCTTGACTTGTTTCCAAAATAAACAACCATTTAGTACCTCACTTTGCAAAGTCAGTGTTTCTAATATAAACACATATGTACCCCACTATGCAAAGTCAGTGTTTCCTATAAACCTACACATGTACCTCACTATGCAAAGACAGTGTTTCCAAAAGAAACACGCATTCCGTACCTCACTATGCAAAGTCTGTGTTTCCTATAAAAGTACACATGTACCTCACTATGCAAAGACAGTCTTTCCTATATAAACACACATGTACCTCACTATGCAAAGACAGTCTTTCCTATATAAACACACATGTACCTCACTATGCAAAGACAGTGTTTCAAAAAGAAACACGCATTCGGTACCTCACTATGCAAAGTCAGTGTTTCCTATAAAACTACACATGTACCTCACTATGCAAAGACAGTCTTTCCTATATAAACACACATGTACCTCACTATGCAAAGACAGTGTTTCCAAAAGAAACACGCATTCTGTACCTCACTATGCAAAGTCTGTGTTTCCTATAAAACTACACATGTACCTCACTATGCAAAGACAGTGTTTCCTAAATAAGTTCACATGTACCTCACTATTCAAAGTTAGTGTTTCCAATAGAAACACACATTTTTACCTTATTATGCAAAATCAGTGTTTCCTAAATAAGTTCACATGTACCTCACTATGCAAAGTTAGTGTTTCCAATAGAAACACACATTTATTACCTAATTATGCAAAATCAGTGTTAGAATTTTCACTTCCTGCAGCAAACAAAACATTCAGACACATATTTTTATATGCCTTACCCTGTAAGTCCGAGTCTTTGGTGACTTGATGCCCAAATTCTTTAGTAGAGGCTGGTTGACAATTTATATCTTTGGTGGCAACTAAAATTGAAGAATTATTAGAATGAATGAAACAAGCTGAATACAAAGAGAATATAAAAAAAAAATAATAACACAAGTCTCTGTCGAGACTGTACCTCTACTTGTTTGTACTTCTAACAAAGGAAGATAAAAGAAGACATTGCGATCAGCTCAAAATTGTAGGAGGAGTAGCATATCTGACCAGTAGAGCTAAAAATAGTTAAAGCCTTTACTTTCAATCACTAGTTTTACTTTCAGTGTACCTAGCATAATTTTCACTTCCTACAGCAAACAAAACATTCAGACACATATATTTATATGCCTTACCCTGTAAGTCAGTGTCTTTGGTGACTTGATGCCCAAAGTCTTGAGTACAACCTGGTTGACAATGTATATCTTTACTGGCAACTGAAATTGAAGAATTATTAGAATGAATGAAAAAAGCAAAAAATAAAGAACAGTCTTGACTTGTTTCCAAAATAAACAACCATTTAGTACCTCACTCTGCATAGTCAGTGTTTCTAATATAAACACATATGTACCCCACTATGCAAAGTCAGTGTTTCCTATAAAACTACACATGTACCTCACTATGCAAAGACAGTCTTTCCTATATAAACACACACCTCATGTACCTCACTATGCAAAGTCTGTGTTTCCTATAAAAGTACACATGTACCTCACTATGCAAAGACAGTCTTTCCTATATAAACACACATGTACCTCACTATGCAAAGACAGTCTTTCCTATATAAACACACATGTACCTCACTATGCAAAGACATCCACACGCATTCGGTACCTCACTATGCAAAGTCAGTGTTTCCTATAAAACTACACATGTACCTCACTATGCAAAGACAGTCTTTCCTATATAAACACACATGTACCTCACTATGCAAAGACAGTGTTTCCAAAAGAAACACGCATTCGGTACCTCACTATGCAAAGTCAGTGTTTACTATAAAAGTACACATGTTCCTCACTATGCAAAGACAGTGTTTCCTAAATAAGTTCAAATGTACCTCACTATTCAAAGATAGTGTTTCCAATAGAAACACACATTTATTACCTAATTATGCAAAATCAGTGTTTCCTAAATAAGAAACACACATGTACCTCACTATGCAAAGTTAGTGTTTCCAATAGAAACACACATTTATTACCTAATTATGCAAAATCAGTGTTAGAATTTTCACTTCCTGCAGCAAACAAAACATTCAGACACATATTTTTATATGCCTTACCCTGTAAGTCCGAGTCTTTGGTGACTTGATGCCCAAATTCTTTAGTAGAGGCTGGTTGACAATTTATATCTTTGGTGGCAACTAAAATTGAAGAATTATTAGAATGAATGAAACAAGCTGAATACAAAGACAATAAAAAAAAAAAAAATAACAGAAGTCTCTGTCGAGACTGTACCTCTACTTGTTTGTACTTCTAACAAAGGAAGATAAAAGAAGACATTGCGATCAGCTCAAAATTGTAGGAGGAGTAGCATATCTGACCAGTAGAGCTAAAAATAGTTAAAGCCTTTACTTTCAATCACTAGTTTTACTTTCAGTGTACCTAGCATAATTTTCACTTCCTACAGCAAACAAAACATTCAGACACATATATTTATATGCCTTACCCTGTAAGTCAGTGTCTTTGGTGACTTGATGCCCAAAGTCTTGAGTACAACCTGGTTGACAATGTATATCTTTACTGGCAACTGAAATTGAAGAATTATTAGAATGAATGAAAAAAGCAAAAAATAAAGAACAGTCTTGACTTGTTTCCAAAATAAACAACCATTTAGTACCTCACTCTGCATAGTCAGTGTTTCTAATATAAACACATATGTACCCCACTATGCAAAGTCAGTGTTTCCTATAAACCTACACATGTACCTCACTATGCAAAGACAGTGTTTCCAAAAGAAACACGCATTCCGTACCTCACTATGCAAAGTCTGTGTTTCCTATAAAAGTACACATGTACCTCACTATGCAAAGACAGTCTTTCCTATATAAACACACATGTACCTCACTATGCAAAGACAGTCTTTCCTATATAAACACACATGTACCTCACTATGCAAAGACAGTGTTTCCAAAAGAAACACGCATTCGGTACCTCACTATGCAAAGTCAGTGTTTCCTATAAAACTACACATGTACCTCACTATGCAAAGACAGTCTTTCCTATATAAACACACATGTACCTCACTATGCAAAGACAGTGTTTCCAAAAGAAACACGCATTCTGTACCTCACTATGCAAAGTCTGTGTTTCCTATAAAACTACACATGTACCTCACTATGCAAAGACAGTGTTTCCTAAATAAGTTCACATGTACCTCACTATTCAAAGTTAGTGTTTCCAATAGAAACACACATTTTTACCTTATTATGCAAAATCAGTGTTTCCTAAATAAGTTCACATGTACCTCACTATGCAAAGTTAGTGTTTCCAATAGAAACACACATTTATTACCTAATTATGCAAAATCAGTGTTAGAATTTTCACTTCCTGCAGCAAACAAAACATTCAGACACATATTTTTATATGCCTTACCCTGTAAGTCCGAGTCTTTGGTGACTTGATGCCCAAATTCTTTAGTAGAGGCTGGTTGACAATTTATATCTTTGGTGGCAACTGAAATTGAAGAATTATTAGAATGAATGAAACAAGCTGAATACAAAGACAATAAAAAAAAAAAAATAACAGAAGTCTCTGTCGAGACTGTACCTCTACTTGTTTGTACTTCTAACAAAGGAAGATAAAAGAAGACATTGCGATCAGCTCAAAATTGTAGGAAGAGTAACATATCTGACCAGTAGAGCTAAAAATAGTTAAAGCCTTTACTTTCAATCACTAGTTTTACTTTCAGTGTACCTAGCATAATTTTCACTTCCTACAGCAAACAAAACATTCAGACACATATATTTATATGCCTTACCCTGTAAGTCAGTGTCTTTGGTGACTTGATGCCCAAAGTCTTGAGTACAACCTGGTTGACAATTTATATCTTTGGTGGCAACTGAAATTGAAGAATTATTAGAATGAATGAAAAAAGCAAAAAATAAAGAACAGTCTTGACTTGTTTCCAAAATAAACAACCATTTAGTACCTCACTCTGCATAGTCAGTGTTTCCAATATAAACACATATGTATACCACTATGCAAAGTCAGTGTTTCCTATAAAACTACACATGTACCTCACTATGCAAAGACAGTCTTTCCTATATAAACACACATGTACCTCACTATGCAAAGACAGTGTTTCCAAAAGAAACACGCATTCCGTACCTCACTATGCAAAGTCTGTGTTTCCTATAAAAGTACACATGTACCTCACTATGCAAAGACAGTCTTTCCTATATAAACACACATGTACCTCACTATGCAAAGACAGTCTTTCCTATATAAACACACATGTACCTCACTATGCAAAGACAGTGTTTCCAAAAGAAACACGCATTCGGTACCTCACTATGCAAAGTCAGTGTTTCCTATAAAACTACACATGTACCTCACTATGCAAAGACAGTCTTTCCTATATAAACACACATGTACCTCACTATGCAAAGACAGTGTTTCCAAAAGAAACACGCATTCTGTACCTCACTATGCAAAGTCTGTGTTTCCTATAAAACTACACATGTACCTCACTATGCAAAGACAGTGTTTCCTAAATAAGTTCACATGTACCTCACTATTCAAAGTTAGTGTTTCCAATAGAAACACACATTTTTACCTTATTATGCAAAATCAGTGTTTCCTAAATAAGTTCACATGTACCTCACTATGCAAAGTTAGTGTTTCCAATAGAAACACACATTTATTACCTAATTATGCAAAATCAGTGTTAGAATTTTCACTTCCTGCAGCAAACAAAACATTCAGACACATATTTTTATATGCCTTACCCTGTAAGTCCGAGTCTTTGGTGACTTGATGCCCAAATTCTTTAGTAGAGGCTGGTTGACAATTTATATCTTTGGTGGCAACTGAAATTGAAGAATTATTAGAATGAATGAAACAAGCTGAATACAAAGACAATTAAAAAAAAAAAAATAACACAAGTCTCTGTCGAGACTGTACCTCTACTTGTTTGTACTTCTAACAAAGGAAGATAAAAGAAGACATTGCGATCAGCTCAAAATTGTAGGAGGAGTAGCATATCTGACCAGTAGAGCTAAAAATAGTTAAAGCCTTTACTTTCAATCACTAGTTTTACTTTCAGTGTACCTAGCATAATTTTCACTTCCTACAGCAAACAAAACATTCAGACACATATATTTATATGCCTTACCCTGTAAGTCAGTGTCTTTGGTGACTTGATGCCCAAAGTCTTGAGTACAACCTGGTTGACAATGTATATCTTTACTGGCAACTGAAATTGAAGAATTATTAGAATGAATGAAAAAAGCAAAAAATAAAGAACAGTCTTGACTTGTTTCCAAAATAAACAACCATTTAGTACCTCACTCTGCATAGTCAGTGTTTCTAATATAAACACATATGTACCCCACTATGCAAAGTCAGTGTTTCCTATAAAACTACACATGTACCTCACTATGCAAAGACAGTCTTTCCTATATAAACACACATGTACCTCACTATGCAAAGACAGTGTTTCCAAAAGAAACACGCATTCGGTACCTCACTATGCAAAGTCTGTGTTTCCTATAAAAGTACACATGTACCTCACTATGCAAAGACAATGTTTCCTAAATAAGTTCACATGTACATCACTATTCAAAGATAGTGTTTCCAATAGAAACACACATTTATTACCTAATTATGCAAAATCAGTGTTTCCTAAATAAGTTCACATGTACCTCACTATGCAAAGTTAGTGTTTCCAATAGAAACACACATTTATTACCTAATTATGCAAAATCAATGTTTCCTAAATAAGTTCACATGTACCTCACTATGCAAAGTTAGTGTTTCCAAAAGAAACACACATTTACCTCACTATGCAACGTTAGTGTTTCCAATAGTTTCCAATAGAAACACACATTTATTACCTAATTATGCAAAATCAGTGTTAGAATTTTCACTTCCTGCAGCAAACAAAACATTCAGACACATATTTTTATATGCCTTACCCTGTAAGTCCGAGTCTTTGGTGACTTTATGCCCAAATTCTTTAGTAGAGGCTGGTTGACAATTTATATCTTTGGTGGCAACTGAAATTGAAGAATTATTAGAATGAATGAAACAAGCTTAATACAAAGAAAATTAAAAAAAAAAAAATAACAGAAGTCTCTGTCGAGACTGTTACTCTACTTGTTCAGGGATTTTTTTACCCTTTGATTCCAGGGGCCGGGGCCGTCAAGATTGGGAAAAATAGTGATATTTGATTGAAATTGGGAAAAAAAATTCATACAAATAAAATAAAAAGGAAAAAAAAGCAAAAATCAACTACTGGTATTTAATTTTTTTTTCTTTTATTGTATGAAACTGGCTTCGGTCAGCTTTACTGCTAATTATAAAAGCGGCTGTTGAAGTTCAGAAGCTTACAAATGTCAAAGCTGCAGAGTATGATAAAATTGTAAAATAAAGGAACATATTTATATGTTGTCATCTTTTTTACCTTTATTTAAGAAGTCTGTTTAAAATAAAAGTTAATAGTAATTTTGTTCCTGATGATCGATTAAGGTAGTATGGGATACCAAACGAAATTTCTCCTATATATTCATGTACCCAAATTAGGAGGATTTGAAATGCCATCACGCAGCAGTATGTTAAATCGTAATTTTGATAATTTTTTTTATTATTTTAATGAGAAATACAAAACTGATTTTTTTATCATATAATTCTTATATCAAAAGTTTAATATTATAGGAAAAAGTTTTCTAATATCAAGTGTATATAAAACAAAAATGACAAGAAATATGTCTTCGTATTTTTTTTTAATTTAAAAAAAAAATAAGCGTAAAAAACTGGGAAAACTTCATTTCTTGAAAACAGATGGATAAAATTGCATGAAAATCTACAATTAGAATGTATATTAATATGTCGGAAAATTGAAACAAAGAAATTGAAAAAATATATATAAATGGAAAATATCAGATGCATTTAAATATATTTGGATTAAAAGATCCGATCGGAAGAGTTATCTTTCTTTATTTTCCAGGGGTTGAAAAAATCTGGGTGCTATTTAAGAAATGATTCAGCATTTTATCACCGATATAAAAAATCGCACTTTCTTTCGTTGGTAGTCTTTAACTTAGAACTGTTTTGAAGACAATGCCTGGACAATCGCTTTCAAAACGTGTCTCATTCAGATCGAGCCATTACATTCATTTAAAAGTATTCGGACTATATCCAACAGCTAGCTGATTTGTGACCAAACAGTTACTTCTTGAATTCAATAACAAAGACGACCAGTCCTGGTTAATGTGATAATTGCTTGGTAATGTGAAATCCTCATACTTATCCATGCCTCATCGAACACCTGGGGTAGTGGACAGTTAAACAATTGAAAGACAGCTTTTCATTAATAGTGTTCAAAAGCTGCAATGTTCAAACTATATGATTTACAGAGTTTGCTTTTTAAATGTCCATAGTACAATTAACAGTAAAGTTATATACTTTTTTATCTATTTTAGCTAAAATGCGAACTTGCATTGAATTAGCTACAGTTTGTTCTTTTAAACGGTGTATCTACAATTTTTGACCCGATAATAAGCGCTCATGCAAATCAAAACAATATATCAAACGGAAGTGCGTCATAACATGGAGATATCCCATTCTACCTTAATCAGTACTGATTGACCAGTTTATAAGAATAAGACTCAAGAGTGATTCAACCCAGCCTGAAAAATGCCGTCTGATGCAAACTGGAGAGACTGCTATGATGTACATTAATTTATTAAATGACGATCCCGACTTTAATTTTCCTACATCGATCCCGCTATAAAAACATCCGTAGTATTCCGAATGACTTCTCGGAACTTCTCGGATGGCTCCTACATTGCACATAGGGAACATAACACCCGTTTTTCATCATTTTATTTTAATAATTTGCAACTTAATTTTTTTTTTCATTTTGGGAATTTTTAGATTGGGATAAACATGCACTTTTCAGCATTGGGAATGGGGCCGAATTTCGGCCCCAGAGAGACCCCCCAAAAAATCCCTGTTGTTTGTACTTCTAGCAAAGGAAGATAAAAGAAGCCATTGCGATCAGCTCAAAACAAAACAGTCAGACACATATTTTTATATGCCTTACATTCTAAGTCTGAGTCTTTCATGCCTTCATGCCATGAGTCTTTCTCTGAGGCTGGTACCATTTTTTTCTTGGCAACTCGTCCTTTATTTGAACCTGTAGCATTTTTCTGGTTTTGCTGCATGAGAATATTTCAAAAAAAAATTAGTAGCATTCATAAAGTTAAAAATTATTGTACAGAGAAATGTTATTATTACGACTACTCGGCTGAAGAGACAGAGCTCTCGAAATGTCAAAAATACAGTTTATCTATAGTCTTGTTAATAAAAATCTTAAATAGAATTCACACAGTATTAATCATACCTACAGACAGATGGACATAACATGTTAATTAAATATACTCCCCAGATTTCGTATGCAACGGGGAAATGGATAAAAATGGCCTGGTCAGATATAATCAATCAGCTTATATATAATATGACTTGCTAAATCTTGACCAAAGTTTTAAACTACTAGTATAATGACTTGACACTTTGAGCACTGAATAATTACAATATTACAGGGTTGCAAATAACCACTCGCAAATGATAGTAAATTTTCCTGTGGGCGACCAGCTCTTGAGAATATTATCGCCCACATGGCGAGTAAGAATATTATCGGACCTTTTCCAGAATCAGATCGTAGTTTGATTCAACTACCTAATGTACTTTTGTTTTCATATCCCAGGCGAATTTTTTCAAATATTAATTGTAGCTTTATTTGAGATACAAAATATGTCAATCTAGTCAACATTTACCTTAAATTTAAAGAGTAATCATTATTGTAACAAGAATCCCCCCATTCTTTTTCTGCCGCCATGAAGGCAGCCATGTTGGGTGTCCACTGTAAATATAACACCTGGTTAATTCAGTCCAGGTATGTTTGGCTCCTTTATTTATGAAAAAAACGGCATACCGACCCTTAATAATTTGGGAATGTTACAAGAATCAAATATTTTTAAAGCCTTATTCAAAATACATGCCCTGAAACAACGTAAATCAAAAGAAAAAAAAATTGAATGATTACAGAATTTCATACATTTAGTAGTGTAAAAGTCTGCAGGAAAATTTTGAAAAGAAATAATGAAATACTATGGCCATAAAGTATTTTTCTCTTATGTTTTCATATGAAAAGATTTTTTACAAAGTGAAAAAAAAATTGTGGGCCCCATAAAATCAATGTGGGCCAGTAAAATTTGTGAAGTTGTGGGCCCACATGGCCCCTAAGGTTTAAATGTTATTTGCAACCCTGACAATATAAGCAGATAAAAGGGCGAGCACAATGAAAAACTTTCTTTTATAACCTTTTTATTTTCTATTCAGTGTCAATAATGGAAAACAAATTGTTTTCAAGTACCTTTGGTTCACCATCTTCTATTTTCCTTTTTCTCATGCTTCTGGTGATCCTTCTTGTTATCATTTTATAAATCTAATAAAAAGAACAATCAATTTGAATGTGTAGTGTTGATTGTAGTTTACATGATAATCTTCCAGCATGTCCAGTGTTATGGTAATTCATCAGTTTTAATCTCTTAATCATGTTTTAGGGCTGTGTCAATGTATCAATACATTGAATGATCAATATTCAAGAATGTATCATGTTGAAAAATTAGCTTACAATACATTTCGGTTAGGCAGTCTTTCTTGTTTTGTAAAAAAAAAATTGGGAATTTTATTCCCTAATTATGATATTGAACTGTTAGAAATTAAAACTCATCAATAATTACCTACATCATAATTATGAAAATAGCACATCTCACAGGGTTTGACATTAAGGTTTCGGAATACTAGACCAGTCAGGCTACTCCGGCAAATTTTTACTAGCCTTGACCCGCACTAACCCTGACCAAACTTAAGAAAAAATATTAATAGTACGAAACCGGGTCAACTATATTGAATTAAGTATGCACTAAATGACATGTTTAAATGGTGAAAGATAATTAAATAATATTAGTATTACTAAATGTTTACGGATTCAATTATGGCTGTCCCGATTGCACTCAGAGGCTAATCAAGTGTGAAAATAGAGCTTATCTCACAAGATGGACTCTCAACACTCAACAGTCCCTTGTTGAGTGTATTTTTAATCTTTGCTCTAAGATAGAGTGCTACAGCTGACAAGAGCGAAAAAATTAAGGCAAAGCACATCAATTGCATGGAAAAACTGGACAGTGGTGTAAGGTTAATGACAGGGACCTAATTCTCTGAAGTTCAAAATTTTTTTTTCTTAGTTTAAATGAAGATAGGTATATGATCAATTTATGACAATGAAGGACTCTATTCTGCTTTTCAACTGGCTAAGCTTTTTAATGGTTTTTGAATAAAAATTGAAGATTTTAGAGTTCGAAGCGAAGCACTGGGGAATTAATGGCAGCTTGTTAGGTCCCTTCTTTCCTGTCAGAGCTATTATACTATATACCCGATTTTTCTAAGATTGTCTCAAGTCCCTGTGAACAAAAATATAAAGCAACTGAAGTGACTTTTTAAAGTTTTAACTTTTATTCATTACAAATGCTCTAGAATTTTTAACTGCATCAGTACTTTTTTTTAACATGTTCATGGTATAAAATTTTATTTTCAGTGCCACCTTTTTATACAATTTTTTTTTTATGGAATCCAATAAAATCAAAAAGGTTAAAATTACTCAGCATGCTAAGAAACAATAGATGTCACAACTATCAAATTTTTAATTTTTTTTTTATATCGACTGATCGAAAATTATCGCCGATCAGGGAAATGTCCTTGGGCTGGTATGTTAAGTAAAGGAATAAAATTAAATTCAGTAAACTGTAGAATTTATTATATTTGTGGTAGTGTTGTTATGATAGTCGCCGACTATCGAAAAATCGTCGTTTAAAGGCCCAGATCGGCGACAATCGATTGTAAATATTATCATCGATAGATCGCTATATTTTTCATGCCGTATTTTTTAAGCCGATCAGGTTTAACTTTTATATTCACCAAAGGGACGTCACCCTAATCGGCGGTAAACATAGCACTGGTTCTCTGCCCTTGATTCCAGTCGCTGC